ATAAACCCTATTTAAGTTTAGAGTTTCTAATTTTCTTTGCCTCTTTGTCAGACTTTGCATGACCTCTAGACAATCTAAAAGCTTCATTTTTGACAAAACACCTTTAACTTCCTATATCTTTTCTACAAAAGGTTAGAGTTTTAAGAGTTTTAGTAATGCTGCACATTGTGTGACTATGATCCTATAAAAAAATTATTTTAGAGCTCCTTAACAAGATGCAAATGAGAAATGTCACATGTGCTGCTCTTGAAGCTTTTGGAGTGTTCTAGTAGCATAGAAAAACCAAGAAGAAAAAACTAGAGATATTTTGAGCATGGGGCAAATGATCCACTCTTAAAGCTATACAGAGTCTTAGAAAATTTCTTAAGCATCTCTTACACTTTACATTCATATACACTATAAGAAAGTTTGTCATGTCTGATTCCTATTGGTTGCTGCTTGTTAATGTCATTCCATCCAAGGATTGTTCTTTCATTAGCTTGCCACTTACAATGAGTTTTCTCATACATTACAAGCAGATGGATTAGAGATGTAATAAAACTTGCTACCAGATGAAAAATCTACCATTTTAATTTGCCAAACCAAGCTTGTCATTTTGATTCTTGATGTAAACTTCAATAAATAAATCCTAAAAGAAATTGATTTATGTTATACTATCAATTCTTTTATTGTATATTATATCTTGTGTGTAACAATCAGACTTTTTTTCACTCACTGGGGCAGCTAGAAATTTTATGTCTGCAAGCCACCTATAATATGTTACATTGTTGATGGATTTGCATATGAAGGTAATTGATAAATGATAATTAATTAATTCAATTATTCATCAAAATATTTCTTTCTTTTAAATCCTAATTAAATTAAATTAAGTTCCACTATTTTTTATTTTAATTAAAAGAAATATACAATCTCTAGTGTAATCATCATCAATGTCATCGTCAACGCTATTTCCTTCCCTAGCTTCCTGAAGTGTCACTCCACAGCTTGCCTTGATCCTTAATATTTCTCCAGTAAAACCGTTAGCAGTAAAAGGAGGCTTGGCTTGAGAAAGTCCAACAATGGTCACCTGCAGAGGCTCCTCACTTCTCACCACCACCGAGCATCGTTGTGAAGAAGGCCACGGTGATGGATCATATTCAGGGCTCGAGCATCTTCTTCCCCGTATCGTCCAGCTGATGCAGCATCGAGAGCATGGAAATCGCGACGCTGGCCACCATAGCTCAGCACAAGCAAGCAAACATGTCACCATACATAAACCCATGGCTCCTCAGCTGTGGTATGGCACGGCCTTGGATACTCTGTAGCTTCATGTATGCCAAAATCTCCTTGACAAACCTTTTGAGCTCGTCCCTCAAGCAGCTCCGATGGCTCCCAAGGTCCCGGATCTTGAGCACCACTTCGTCGCCGTTGCGCACCTTAGCATGAGTATGTCACAGTTGAATTTGTAAAGCCTGCTCCCCAGCTCAAACTCTCCACTCGACCAAAATTTGAGTTCCTCATGGATTTGGTCCTCGGTGCTGCTACCATCTAGCGTCGTTGCAAGGTCTTTCACCATGGCCTTCATCGCGTCTTTCATGCCTGTGAAATCAGTAACGCGGCCTACATTCCCCAAAGTTTCTGGGGGTTTTACCACCTTTTCCTCGGACAGAGCCATGAGGTACCAGAAGCAAGCCAAGGTGACGCTCTCGGCCTCCACCGGCAGTGAGAGGTCTCGTCACCGTAGCAAAACCAGTACTTAGTCCTCCCGGATACGCGACGGTGGAAACGCTGGCAAAGTATCGAGCTCCACAATACCCACGAGCAGAGCCGGAGCATCATCCCTGTCTCGCCATTCCACGCAGATATCCGGCCAGCCCACCACGCTTTGAGCAGAGACTGCAGTGATGTTTCGCAAACCGTCCTGGAGGTCCATAGCCAAACCCGACACGTCCGATATGGGCTCCACGGTGATGTCGGGCTTGGAGTAGAAAGAGCCCGTGCTTGGCAGCTGCTTAGAAGTCTTGCACCTCGTCCAGGAAGCCATCCCAGGCTCCCAGCGCCCAGGAGGCTGACGCAAAATCCGTGTGGATGCTTTTCGAATTTCACTATCGTCCTCGTAGACCGGTGGCGGTATATAAACCTGGGCCAGCTCTGCGGCCGTTAGCTTACTGCTCCCGGCACCATCGATTGGGTTTAGGGTTTGGAATTTTATTTAACAAACTGTTTAAGCTGTTTTCTATATGTCTAAACGTCCACCTTAGTTATGTTTACAACTTGAGCATCAGCACGAGCTTCCACTTCGGCTAGTCGAGTTTGCTGTTCATTTTCTGTAGCAGATTCCAGGTTTCTTTTTCTTTTTCCCTTTTCTTCTCTTTGCCGGTGACGAGCTAAGTGCCTGGAGCTTTTCGATTCTTTTAACTACTGAGAGGTTTGTGGGAGAAGCACGTGTGGATGAAGCGGTCAATGTCTTCAATACTTTCAGCAAACCATGGGAGGTGAGAAAACGAAAGAAGAAACTCTACTGTGCAGTTCAACCAAGCTGGGGATGCCTTGTACGCTCTAAAGTTTGATATCTATGTTGAGGCATCCAGAACAAAGCGTCATGACAGGTATTTGTAGGTCTGGGGTTTTGGCATTTGTAGCTGTGTCCTTGCGAGTCAACCTGACCTTCTCGACTACAGAAAAAGCAGTGCGCGAGCAACCAGTTATGATCCACTCGACATTGGACACAAACTTCTCAAGCTCATCCCCATTTTTGGTTTCTTTAATGTTCCATAGAAAGATCGTTTCACTTCGATCATCAGGTGAGATGCTGGTTTCACAGAAAACTCCTCCTTTTCTACCTGGAAGACTTTGCTACTGTGATGCAAAGAAAAGTGCAAAACGAAATCACGCTTTCACCTTTGATCGTTCTCTTGGATAAGTGTGGGTGGCTTGAGCACGATATTACAAAAGTTCACATCTACTATGAAAGAAGCAGCTTTTTGGGTATGGAAAAAGAGTGAGTAGAAGTCCATGGAGAAAATAATTTGCTATACTGGTGTTTTATGAATTTATCTTACATTTATCATATATCACTTGTAACACCATTAATTTCATTGACTGAAAACTCTACACCTTGATGGATTTTGCATTCTGGGTAAATTCTCTTCTCAAGAAACTAGCAGGTTTAAGTTGCTAGTGGAATTCACAATTTAAAAGGATTTTAAAAATGGAAAATTGGTCAAATATTATTGAAAACTTGTAGAATCTGGTAAGAAGCTAGCTGTGGAATAAAAATCTACGTGCTTAACTTAGAACTAATGAATTATCTATCCCTAAAAATGAGAGTTTATTAACGAAAAACTGTGTTACTTGCATTAACTTTCTAATCATCCTCGTTGTTAGGATTCACCATTTTCTTAACCATACTGCAAATAGGCTAAATGTCTTTTTTCATTGATAACAATGTATTAGATGCATATATGAAAAAAGTATTTTGAAAGTTTTAATCTTAGTTGCGTTGAGTTGCTAATTTTTTATGATCTTTTAGAATACTACATTGATCTTTATTGCTATATATTTTCTAACTTGATCTTTTTTACATATTAAATGTTTATTTACTTAAATTACTTGTAAAAACTTAGTTTCAACATATTATAAATTCAAGATGATTATGAATTCTTAGTTTTTTTAGTGTGAATAGATTTACTGAACATATATTTATTAAGTCAATGGAATTATAAACATTCATCATAACTAAATTTAACAAGTAGTTAAAAATATAAAATTTAATGCTATAAAAAATACAATATTAGGCCATAAAAGTAAGCACTTTTTTTTATTGAAAAAATTAATTTTTTTTTAAAATTTTGAATAACTATATATAATTTAGCATATAAATTTTAAAAGTAAGCATATATTTGACAGAATTTCTTTTACTTTCTACTTTGAGCTAAAGTTCATCGTAGTGGAAAGCTCCAAGCTTCCACGCCACAAATGCAGTCCCAAACATGAGAGCCGCAATAAGTGAGAAGGAGATGATGAGAACGATGGGACGAGTCCCCCTGATGAGCTCAAACTTGTACTCCTTGTCAGACTCGGAAGGCTTTGGATCGTCGAAGATGTCCGCCGGTGCTGCGTTCACCATCCTTGGCTGCTGCCGCCTCTCCTTCCACAGCGTGTCCAAGATCTCCTTCCTCGACGCTAGGATCCGCTCGTCAATGTCTCCCGTGCTCCTCTTTCGCGGGGGAGTCTGCAGGGGACTCTTGTCGAAGGGGCTGGAAATGGCTGGAGCTGGAAAAGCTTTCGACGCTTTTGTAGTCGATGGCTTGGCCACGGAGCTCGAAGTTGGAGCTGGGACCTTCTTGTCGCTGGAGACGGAACCTCCATTTTTTATGGAGAAAGGTGACGCGGGTGGGCTAGGAAATCGCTTGCTGTAATCCGAGGAGTCGAGCACCGAAGGTGGCGACGAGGAAGAGCTCGAGGTTGGTGTTGTTTTGGCAATCTCTCGCTGCTGCACCGCCTTTCCAGCTGCAAGCCTTGACGATATCTTCCCACCGGCAAACGGGCTCGAGATGGCGACCTTGGGAGAGATTTCCTGTTCCTCTTCTACCCTGGCATTGCTACCTGTGCCCGGTTCCGTTGTCCCATCTGTGCTTCTACGAGCGAAACCGACCCTTCTCAACGACACTCTGGAGGGCGCTAACGTAGACGCTGAATCATGGGGAATTCGTCTATCCTGACTGAATTGGCAGCGAAAACTCTGAACCTGCAAAGCCAAGTCAAGAAAAGTTCAAACGAAGCCAAAGTAAGATCAAACATACGCTTGCTGCGAGTGAAGACTGTGCTGCGAGAGCCCCCATTCCTCGAGGCTACTGCCTGAAACATAAGAATGCGCTGAGAGTTAGTCTGGAAAACAAAGACGCCAAACGAATGCTGCCCACTAGAAATTTACCTCTGCTCTTCGCTCCCTTTTAAGACCCTACTCTGTACTCGTCAGCAAGCCAACTCGGAATATCTATAGCCACGTCAAACTCAGATCTTAAACTCAGATAGCATTTCTCCGTAGGCATAGAAATACAAACTCAGCGTTAATATCTACAAGAAACCAGGAAGAGAACGTACGTGCTAGGTACCCCAAGACGAAGGCTAGTACCGGCCACACCAATCTTCCACCTAGGCAAGGGGCGTCAATAAGAAAGATGCTACAAAACTTTGGAACCGCGCTTCAACGAGAAGAATCCAAGCGCTTGTGGTTGTTTGCTTCTCTCTCTCGGAGAGGATTCTTCAATCTGGAAAGCTGCGTGATCAGTCCAGTGTTAAAGCAGTTTTGAGTGCCCGACTCACCTCCGACATAATGTCCTTTAGGACCAACGTGATTTCGGAAAAGTCAGGCCTGTCAGCAGGATTTGTTCGCCAGCACCACTCAAGTAGCTGAGAGAACTTTGGATGGGCATCTTGAGGGATCGTTGGTCTTAGTTCCTATATGTGTGACACATGCAGAGGGTAAGTATACACAGCCTCAGGGAATGTCGGAGATTACCTCCTGAAGTACTCCGACAGCAACCTGAAATGGTGTCATTAGCTCGTAGGGAACCTGCAGCAGTGATAACCATCTTTTATGCACGCTACGCTTTAAAGGAAAAGGACACACCTTCTTTGTTAGCAATTCCCACAGCAGCACGCCAAAGCTAAACACATCCGCCTTCTGATCGTAATGACTGTGTCCAAGTACCTGAAACAATAAAACAGAAAGAACTTGAGAACTTATAACACAAGTGGCAACAATACCTCCGGAGCCATCCATCGATACGTTCCTGTTTCAGCCGTCATTATTCCATCTTGATCTTGAATACGAGCGACACCAAAGTCTGCTACTTTGACAACCTGAAGAAACCTCAGTGGAGCATATAACTAGAAGAACTGCAACATACCCCATTCTCATCCATGAGTAAACTGGACGCTTTAAGATCTCTATGAATGATGTTGTTCTGATGCAAATAGTCCATGCCCTTCGCAATGTCTAAGGCAATTCTCAGCAAAACATAGAGGTGAAGATTGCCTTTTTGTTTCTGTAAATAGTCATGCACAGTCCCGCCGGACATATATTCTGCACGAAAAAAACTAATTTATCAGAGATTACGTTAAATGCAATTCGAGTACTAACCCGTCACTATACATAGATCTGGAGGTGTTGTGCATGCACCAATAAACTGTACGATGTTCTTGTGTCTGACTTTCCTGAAACCAAACCTATAAGAGTTTAATGTATGGAGAAATCAGCGTACCGCATGATAGCAATCTCGTGGACAAACTCTTGCAAATGCTCGGTCCAAGTTTCTGGCTTGATAACCTTGATTGCAACGTCTTGGCCACAAAATGTACCTCGGTATCTGTGGCAGAATTAGCTCCGTGAAAGAGAATTTTACTATGTACGTACATGTCACCGTTTGAAGAAGGGAGAATTTTCTTAATGCGCTTCAACTGGCTGGAATCTATTTCCCAATCATCAGGAGCGTCCAAAGGTATTTTCCACCCATTAGTTCCCGCTTGCGGTGCAATAATTGAGTCGGGTGAAGACGATGGTGATACAGATGGCGATGTCGATGGCGAGCTTCGCAGCCACACCCCTTCCTGGCAGGAAGTAAGGTAAAGTTAGATCCAAGAAAAACTCAAGAGCACAAACTAACCTCCATACAGGCGACGGAGTTTCTTAGTGCTTGTTCTAAATCCTTGATATTCTAGGAAGCAAGTGCAAAACTCTGTAAGCCAAAGATCTTGGCTCTGAAGTTACGAGTTTCGATCAGGCGGTCCTACCTCGGTATGCCAGCCATATACTACAAAAACGTCAAGAGAGTAACCATCAATTGTAGAAAATATGTGAGCCTCCCATACATGCAGGTTTACGTCTGCAAGTATCGTGGAGAGCTGCAAGCAAAATATTATCACGGCAGTTCAAACTCTGAAAAGATCTTAACCTTGCTAAGAAGTTTTGGTTTATCAACAGTAGAAAATGTCACTTCGTGCATTTGCATGTCTCCTATCCTTGGACTGCAATGAAGGGTTTCAATCGCATCAACGATAGAAATGCGTATAGTATTTACGTACGTGGAACACATGCTGCTCGTCGGGGTGAAAAGTCTTCCTTCAAAGGCAGGAGGAGAGTGAGAACTGTCAAGAACGAGAAATCAACAACAAGCGCATGGGTCAACTAAATCCTTACTCTGCCTTAGAAGACGGCGAATATGATGGCGAATCAGCTGGAGAAGAATTCATGGAGCTCGCATCAGGCCTCTCGACCTACAGAAACACAAAAGGAGTTAACAACGGAAAGAAGGAAAGACAAGCAAGCAATGCGTACAGACACAGCTCGGACATATAGAACAGGCAAATTCTTTGGATTTTCAGCTTCCTCCAACATTTTCTTATGAATGAGCACGACTTGGGCCCTGTCTTTCCTCACATCTGAAGCATACCTGCAAGGAAGAAACGATCCCCCTCTCAAACCCAAGAACAGAAATTCCAGACCATGTAAAAAACTTTCTACCTGGTAGGGAGACGAGCAAAGTGAGCACGCAGCTCATCAGCGAAGCCCGGCTCACTGGCTTCCTCGTGACCCTCCTCTACGAGACGCTGGAGAATCTCAGTAAGAACTTCCTGCTTGGTATTCCTATGCTGCTGATGGGGCGCCCAATCCATAGCCTCATTGGCGTCGCACCCATTCTCACTCCCATCCACCTCCATGGCTTACCGCGGCATGAAATTTCCCCCTCAAGTGTCATCCAGCAAGCAAAACCGGTGAATCCACGCGATTGCCCGGCGAATCAGCCTCGGCGCTGGGCTCCGCATGGCAGCTGCTCCTCGATCTGAGCTGCGGCTACGGCCGTAGGCGCAGCGCCACGCTCCAGAGCGCGAGCACGAAAACCCTAGCGCAGTGGTACACTGGCTCTACCAGACCTAGAAGACGCTTCTAACTAGGAGCATTGGACGATACACCATATTCCATCTCTCTTAAGAGCTGCCACATCATCCGGAAGGGACGGAATCTCCTGCAATGGAGGACGATATTGATATTTTATACCCCGGCTTGACCAAGCATTTGCTTATCTTAATTAATAGCCTCCAGATTGTTGAGTTTTCTCTGCGAGGTAAGAAAATTCTCTTCAAAGAATGCACGGCAAAGGGATTTCCACGAAAGCTCTAAAGAAGAGCATCACTTCGGAGCTCTTCAAACCAGTCTCCAATCTTTCTCGCCAAGTTCTCTACGTCTGCGAGAGCGGCTTTTCTCACTGCCTGGCTCACGGCATCGACCGGAGTGTAGATTTTTCCTGCTTCTAGCTTCAAATCCTGGGAAAACGAAGGCCTGAGGCTCGTTTCTTCATAGCTTTGGAAATCCTGGGAACGAGACTTACAGGTAAGAGTGGTGTTGCGTGTGTTCCAGTCAAGGCCATCTTCCTGAGCGTGCCTCCAATCTTGTTTACTTGCGGTCTTAGCAGGGCTTCGAGAGAATCAGTCTCGTCGATAGTGTCCACGGAGAATTTCACCTGACGAAGTGATTGATTACCAATGGCAGGAAAAAAAAACACTTTTCTTACCAGGAGAGTATGAGAAACTGCGTAACTGCTGGAAATTAAGCTTCTGTTTTGCTCTGGAGTGGGTTTAAACTCGGAGACTCCATCAGCAACCTGTCAAACTTTAAAACATGAGAAGAACTTTGAAGAAATAAAAACCAAGAGTAAAAACCTGACCGAAGACAGACGGAATTTGTTGAATAAATCTCTTCACAGGCTCCAGACTTTCTCGCTCTATGCCCGGTGGCAAAGGAAATGGTGGATCAGCTATGGCTTTCATTGTCTCCTCTACAACCAGCCATCCAGCTTGAGGTCGTGGAGAAAAAATATATTACCTGTTAAAAATTCCGCAAAGGCCATCACGGGTGAGCCTTGAGCTACTGAGGATAAGGTCGGTCCTAACTGGAGGAAAATTAATCAATCAATCAAAATGTAGCTCGGAGAAAAACCTGATCAAAAAATGGAACAGCCTGAACCGCAGGCTTGTTGTTGAAAGAGATTATTGCACTGGCCTGTTAGTGTTAGAACCATGTCATTACCAGAAATACAGAAGCAAAAGAAAAAAAAAATCTCACCTTTGGAAGCTTTTCGTCTATACAATAGCTTCCTATCAAAACCTGCATGAGTGCCCCGTTGCTGTGAGCAAGAGAAGGAGGGAAAGTCTTTACGAACAGAAACAATGCAAACAGATAGACATACCTGTGGCCAACACTTATCACTGGAAGCTCGGCGACATCACTTGGAGAGAGCCCAAACACTTCGCAGCCCGATTGTGCAAGCAAATTCAAAGACGAACTCCAGTTGCCGTGAATTCGTCGAGCACATAACTCGTGATCGAAAGTAACGTTGTAAGGAGCTGCCATGATCAAGAATCCCTGCTTCGCAAGGAGCTCAATAAAATAGCTGACACGAAAACAAAAGACCTATTCACAAGGGAAGACTAGAAGAATTCTTCTACCTGTAAGTCAGCTCTGGAGCAGCGCCGATAAATGCCCCCCCAAGGAATTGAACAAGCGCCTTGGGCTTCTTCTTCCTCGCCATCGCGTCTGGAGCAGTGTAAAGCAAGCAATCGCCCACATTCTCGTATGGGAACGCCAAGGAATCCCGAATTGCACCAATCCTCCTCGAGCCACGACCTAGAACACGAAAAATCGACTGACGCGCAGACAGACCTGGGCGCTCGGCAATTGGAGCGCAGCGCAACGCCATAGCCGCGGCTAAAAAGCCCTAAGCCCCGCGAGGAATATTCGAAATTTGAAAGCCAGATATTTTCCAAAGCCCTTATCTTCATCGGGCGGCCAGAGGCACAAGCCGGAGGACGATCCTGGCCGTGGATCCAGGCGGTGGACGGCCGAGATTAAAAGCGTAAGAACCCTAGATAATATCTCGGGCTAAAACCCCTAAAACCCTATAGTCGCTTTCTCCCATTTTGATTGGCATTGGGTTAAGCCACGGCGCTACTGTCTCTTCCTCCTTGGTTTGGTTTAGGCGATAATGCTGCGGTTGAGGATCCCTCTAGCGCCCTCTGCCCTTCGTTCCGCCGCTCGAGCGGCAGCAGTAGGCGGTGCCGCCACTCCATCGCCTCCTGCTCGAGGCGCCGCTGCCACTCCGCCGCCGCCGTCGCCTCGCATCGCCGCTATGGAGGCCGTCTCATGGCCCGCCGCGAGCTGCAGCGTGCCCTTGGTCTCGTCAGGTATGCTCGAGGGAATGCCAGGGTATAGGGTTTAAGTGTGAGGGTTTTAGAGGAGGAAGAAGAGCAAATGTAGATGCGAATTTGGGGTTTATCCTTTTTGTTGTTGTTGTTCTTGATGTTCTTGTGCGTTTGTGGTCTCGAGATGCTTTTTCTTTCATGTGCGTTTTTTTCAAGTGATTTTTGTTATTCATGTGCGTTTTTACAGGCTCTGGTCTCAAACAAACGAGTCTCCAGTCGACTTTTAAGTCCAGCTCGCGAGTTTGGCTTCCCAGACAAGGAGGTCTATCAATGAGAGCTTACTGCGCGGTGGCTAGTGCTGAAGTTGCAGCGGAGCCTGAGCAAGTTCCACTCAAACCCATTCTCACTCCAGCTCAACAGGCTCTTCAGCCCGCTAAGCCGCCTCCAGCTCGTAAGTTTGTTATCTTCTTTCTCAGAAGCTCATCTTATTGTTTTTCTTTCAGAGTCTGGAGAAATCGAGCTTGATCCTGAGAAGCTGGCGGAAGAGATGAACACCTGTTCTCCCTTGGAGATCATGGATCGTGCGTTGGGAATGTATGGCAATGACATTGCCATCGCTTTTGGGTACGTTTTTGCGACTGCTTTGCAAGTAGTCTCTCATTTGCATTTCCTCTTTTCGACCAGTGGAGCTGAGGATGTCGCGCTCATTGAGATTGCGCATCAATCCGCGCGACCGTACCGAGTGTTCACGCTGGATACTGGAAGGATGAATCCTGAGACGTACCGGTTCTTCACCGAAGTTGAGAGGCATTACAACATCCAAATAGAATATGTTTTCCCGGACGCTGGAGAAGTTGAGAAGTTGACCAAAGACAAAGGGATGTTCTCCTTCTACCAGGACGGACACGAAGAGTGCTGCAACATTCGCAGGATCAGGCCTTTGTCAAAGAAGCTGCAGGGCCTTCGCTCCTGGATCACTGGTCAGCGTCGGGACCAACTCCCAGTTTCTCGTGGAAAATTGCCTGTTGTCCAGGTAAGGAAGCCTCGCAAAATCCTCTTTGTTTCTAATTTTCTCTTGTTGTGTTTTTCAGATTGATCCATCTTTTGATGGCCGAGATGGTCCAGAAACTCTGCTGAAATGGAACCCACTGGCGAGTATGTCGCATAATGAGATCTGGAGATTTCTCACGAACATGAACGTGCCGATCAATGAACTTCATACAAAGGTGATTTTGCTTTCTTTTTCCATTTTGCTTCATGTATTTTGCAGGGGTTCGCTTCGGTCGGATGTGAGCCTTGCACGAGATCGATCCTCCCATGGCAGCACGAGCGAGAGGGACGGTGGTGGTGGGAGGAAACCAACTCCAAGGAGCTGGGTATCAACAAGGCAAGTTCTTCTTTCTCTTTGATCTGTGAAAGTTAAAGCTGAACATTGTTCTCTCATACTATCAGGGCAACATGAACAACGTCCGGCCTTACCGTAGGCAACAAGAATTCGGCGGTGATCTCTACAACAATCCGTCGATCATCAAATTCAGTCGTGAAGAAATGCGAGCTCTCGGCAAGACCACGTCGCGTGAAAAGTCCGGCGTCGTGTGCCTGTACGCCCCCTGGTGCCCACATTGCCAGGTATCCCGTTTTCTCTTTACAAGTTCTTTCTCGATGTTCTCACATTCTTGATCCTTTTTCCCTTCTCTTCAGGCCATGGATGCCGCATACAAGGAACTCGCCACGAGGCTCGAAGGCACACCAGTCTACGTAAGTAAAAATCGCATTGTTTTCGCAGAGTAGAATATGATCGATTTTTCCTTTCCAGATTGCCAAGTTCCGTGCCGATGGTGTGAACAAGATGATGTGCCAGCAAGAGCTGATGATGACGACGTTCCCGACGATCCTCTTCTTCCCCAAGAACAGCACGAAGTTCATCAAGTATCCATCAGAGCGCAGGGACATCAATTCGCTCCACTCGTTCGTCATGTCCTTCATGTAGAAGAGAGAATGGGGCGCTTTAGAGGAGGATTATAGGATTTTGGATGGATAGAGCAACTAATTCTTCGTCCCTGCGCTACTGGTTTGGTCGAAAGGATGAGTTCCAGTTGGGTGCTATCGATGGTCACTATAATCTAGAGAAGAGTTCTAGATGGTCGCTATAATCTAAAGAGGAATTCCCCATAATCTTAGAGAAGAAATCTAGAGCTTATATAATCTTCTGAAGCTTGTTAATCTTTTCGCGCCATCGTGTAGTATATTCTTGTCAACGGTAAGGATATTCGCCAATTTGAATTAGGCGCGTCACGCGTGGCCGGCCGGCCCGTTGCGATTTCTCCTAGCTACGCGACAAGCGGAGCTCCGCCAAAAGTTAGTAATAGTGAAATTTTGATGACTTTTAACGTTACTCCACATTTGGCGGACCTCCAGCTTTCCAGCAGTTAAGCGACAACGCGGCTATGTGCGGGTCTAGCTCTTTCTAAGGTTTAGGGTTCTTCCAAGAAAGCTATTGGATCGCTCTCCAAGCGCCTTCCCTTGCAAATGAGACAGCGATCCGGCAGGGAAATATCTGATATCCGTCGCGAGGATCGCAAGAGCAGGAAGAAGAGGCGGCGCGGCGTCTTGATTCTTGGAGTTTCTTGGGTTTGGAAATGTATTGTCGATGCGGCTTGTTGTGCGCGGCGCTGGTGTTATCGGGGATTTTTCTCGTGGATGCCGCCATGCTGGAGCAGGATTTGAGCGCGTTGGTCGCGTTTCGCAATGCCACGGACGCCTCCAATCTTCTTGGATGGAGCACGCAGCGGGATCCTTGTAGCTGGCAAGGGATTACGTGCATCAACGCCACGATCGGGTCTTCCAACGGCAGTGTAAGTGAAATTCGGGAAAGAGTATTCAAGATCAATCTCCCGGGCGTGGGGATCTCCGGGGCTGTCCCTGCCGGCGTTCTTGGATCCCTGGACGAGCTCACGGTTCTCAGTCTGAGGTCGAATCTTCTCTCCGGGCCACTTCCCGGCGATCTCATCAAATGCAGGAAGCTCCGGAGCTTGGTGCTGCAAAGGAACCGATTCACGGGCCCGATTACGTGGGATTTCCAGTCCTGGCCTCGCTTGGTCCGCGTCGATCTCTCCTACAACACCCTCAACGGAAGCTTGCCGCAGTCTCTAGAGGGCCTTCCACGCATCAAGATTTTTCTCGTCCAGAACAACTCCTTCACAGGTAAAATTCCGGCAATCCAGCGCGGCAGCTCCATCGTGGATTTCAGCGTCGCCAACAACAGCCTTAGCGGACAAATCCCACAGACTCTCGCGCAGCTTCCACCACAGGATTTTTCGGGCAACCTTGATCTTTGTGGGAGGCCTCTGGGATTTGTTTGCTCCGCCCCGGTATCTCCAGAGCCAACTCCAAGCAGGCCGGCAGCGCCAACTCAAACGAAGCCCGGGAGACGACTTAGTCTTGGCGCAATCCTTGCGCTCGTCATTGGCGATGTGGCCTTCCTGGCAGTGCTCACGACACTGTTCATGCTGTGCTACTGGCACAAGCAGCACAAGCGGGAGATATCGGCAGCCTCGGCCCGGAGTCCCAAGCCCAAGGCCGAGGTGAGCAGCTCCGACGATTTCACGAGGGAGTTCTCGAGCTCGGACAAGAGCGCCGAGGCTCAAGCCGGGCAACTGGTCTTCCTCAAGACGAGTAAGAACAACTTTAGCCTGGAGGATCTCTTGCGGGCATCGGCGGAGATGATGGGGCAGGGGAGCCTTGGGACGAGCTACAGGGCGGTGCTGGAGGACGGGCAAATGGTGGCGGTCAAGAGGATCAAAGGAGTTGAGCTGGGAAGCAAAGAGTTTGAGAAGAGGATGGCGGTGTTTGGAGAGATCGAGCATCAAAATCTCCACGTCCCAAGAGCCTACTACTTTTCCAAGACGGAGAAGCTCGTGGTGACGGAGTTCATCCCAATGGGAAGCTTAGCGGCGCAGCTTCATGGTAAGCAACCCGGATTTCTTTCTCCTCGTCTTTGTATACTAAGTTTTCCTTCAAAAGGTGGTGAGACACAACAGTCGATATCTCTGGACTGGTCCATGCGCCTCCGGATAGCGCTGGGCGCCGCAAGAGGGATCGCTTGCTTGCACGAGTCGCTGGGTGGCCAAGTAGTGCACGGCGACATCAAATCCTCCAACATTCTCCTCTCGCGCTCTATGGAAGCCCGGGTGGCGGACTATGGCATCGCCCAGATGCTGGGGCCGGGGTCCGAGTCGGCGTTGGGCCCGGTGGGCTATCGGGCACCGGAGCTGTCCGCCACCAGGAAGCTCACGCAGCAGTCGGACGTCTACGCGTTTGGGGTGGTGCTGCTGGAGATTCTCACGGGGAAGGCACCGTGGAGGAGCAATCACTCGGGCGAGATGCTGGATCTCCCGCGATGGGTCCAGTCGGTTGTCCGGGAGGAGTGGACGGAGGAGGTTTTCGACCAGGGGATCTTGAGGTTCTCGGAGGAGGAGATGGTGGAGATGCTTCAGATTGCGCTGGTGTGCGTGGCGACGCTGCCAGGGGATCGACCAAAGATGAGAAATGTGGTGAAGATGATCGAAGACGTGAGGAACTGGGGGACTGGAGGGGAGGAGTTGTCGTCCGAGGAGCTCAAGAGCATGGATCGGCCATGAAGGAAAGTTTGTATGGTCTCTTTCTTCTTTGATTTGTAAGTGTTTTGTGCATGACTCCAACAACAACACTTTGTGCAAATTTTTTGGCAGGAGCAAAGCTCTGCGAATAACGTAAATCCAATCATCTCCAAAGTTGGATCATGGTCTTAGAACTTTAGTAGAGCTTCTCTTCCTGGTGGGTTTGAATGACCAAATCCGAGACCGGGTATGCCACACAGGTGAGAACGTAGCCCTGTTTCACCTGGAGATCAGTGAGAAACGTTTGGTCCCTCTGATCCACCTCGCCCAGCTTCACCATGCCCGCGCAAGAAGAACACGCCCCCGATTTGCACGAGTAGGGCAGCTCCACGCCCTGCTCCTCCGCGGCATCCAGAATGTAGGAATCCTCGGGCACGCTCAGCACTTTCTCGCCCTCAGGGGTCACCAGCGTTACCTTGTAAGCCGCCCAGACGCGAAGCCTCGATCGCCCACCTGGTGGAAGTCGAGCTGGTTGGAATCGCCCACTTGGATCTGGCGATGGAAATCGGACATCTGGATGGAACCGTGCACTACGATTTGCAAGGCGCCCAATCGCAAATGGATATCGCCCACTTGGAGCTGCTACCAGGGAAGCCGCCATGGCCAAACACAGTCTTTTAGACAATAGTAGTTTACGGTAATATTCTGTGGCAAACAGTATTGTATTTCGACGCACAAGTTCTACTCGAATCTCTCGCTTCACAGAGGATCTTCGTAAAATCAAGATTGTAAGTTTTTTTGGATAAAAATGATGGAAGTACTATCAGAGGGAGGTTTCGATCCTCCGACCTGTGGGTTATGGGCCCACTACGCTTCCGTTGTGCCACTCTGATTTTGTTACATTTTTTAAGATTTACAAATGATTGCATGCGCCTATAGAATATGCCATGTTTAATTAACTATTCGTTTACGTGCCCAAGCGTTGCTGAGTCTTGCTTATTTAAATAGTGTGGTGAATAATAAACTATTAACTTGTTGGGTTGTAGAGTATGCATCTGATGACCCATTTGAGTGTCTCGAAGTATAAGTCATACTCCGACCTGTTAAGTTTTTCAAAAAGTTTTTACTTTTCGCTATTTATACCATCTACATCTTTGTTGAGCATAGTCTTCCAAGTTACTACCACCGGCATTGGACAATCGATCGATGCTGGAAGAATCCCCTTGTATAGTCACACTATCTAATAAGTTCTACGTGGTAGGTGTTTACTATGCATGGCGTTGCTCGATTCTTTTGACTGTAGACCATGAATGGACAAAATCTCATTACATGGTAATATTTATAAGGCTGCTTTTAAGCTAGGGCGCGGAGCGGACGACACGAGATTGAGAGCTCGGAGGCGCTCCTAGGTAGCAAATGCAGGGCTTGGGAGGAGGGCAGTGCGCTAGCGATGGCGGCACAGCCGCGAGGATTGCCGATGCTAGAGCCACTCGCTCCACACTGTGCTTGGAGAGAATCGGAGACGTGCAATGGAAATACGTTGCAAAGGGGCAGGTCTTACAGAGCGAGAAATTGTTTCCTCACCAGAGCGCCCTTGCGGTGAGTCATGCATCGCTTTCTCTCTCTCTCTCTCTCTCTCTCTCTCTCTCTCTCTCTCTCTCTTTTTCACCTTGTTCTTCAGGAGATTATGGACTTTGTGCGATCGCATGTTGTGCCGGAAGGCTTTCCGGACAGTGTTCTTCCGTGCTACACGCCTTACATGCAATGGCGATGCCTCCAGGTAAAAGCTTTTGCTTAGATCGTGTTTTAGACGACAGTGCTGATTTCGTCCAGTATTTCTTTGGAGGTGCCATGGGCGTCTTCACGACCCGGTCGCTGCTTCATGCTCTTGGTGTCCGGAATGGAGCTTCGTCTTCGGCCATCGCTGTAAACTGGGTTGTCAAGGTCGGTGCTGTGTTATGCAAAACTTTGACGTAGTTCTAAAACGGGCTTCACTTCATTTCTCAGGATGGTGCTGGCCGAATTGGAAAAATGATTTTTGCTCGGCATGGAAAGAAGTTCGATTGTCACCTTAAGCAGGTTATCCGTGCAGCGTTTGCTCTTGTGCTTAGTTCTCTGATTCGTGAGTCTTTTACAGATTCGATTTGCTGGTGATGTCTTAATGCAATTAGCTGCAGCACTGGAACTAGCTACATCTGCCACACCACAATTTTTTCTCCCTCTGGCTTGTATAGCTAACATTGGAAAGGTGTTCTTACCTTGTTTTATTATTTCTTCTCAAGAGGCTTGGTTTTTTCTTTCGCAGAACGTTGCTGCAGTGGCGTCTACTTCGACTCGAGCACCCATATACAAGGCCTTTGCGCGTCGAGAAAACATTGGAGACATAACTGCAAAAGGAGAGTGTATCGGAAACATTGCGGATCTGGTATGAGAACGAGTTGCAAGGACTGGTAGTTTGCTAACACGCTACTTTTTAGCTAGGTACTGGCATGGGAATTCTGATGTCCAAAAATTTTCCTGTCTTTGCTCCATTTAGTGCGTTGGCTTTTGGATACGTCTACAGTTCCTTTCGAGAGGTATTGTTTGCTTTTCTGCGCCTTCGACTGCCTCAACACTCCAATGCAGGTGAAAGCAATTCAGTTGCCGACATTGAACCGGCACAGATTCGGGATTGCTGTCGACACTTTTCTAGAGACAGGTATTTCAAGTCTGGAAGTCACTTTTGTTTGACATTTTTTCTCTGCAGGGAAAGTTCCAGGTTTGGTTGAAGCAAATGAGAGAGAGCGAATTATCGTTGGTCCGCAATGGTCACTAGAGAAACTAGAACTAGGTACCCCCTCTGTTAGTTTTTGGATGCTGTTTGCTGACCGTGGGAATTTTCTTCAGGCGCACGGGTATCTGATGCCTTCTCTGCTCCTCAAGACTACCAGTACATAGACTCTTTATTTAAGGTGCCTTCTTTATTCACAGTATTGAATGACACACACACTCTCTTTCTCTCTCTCGCTTTCTCTTTCCAGGGGGAAAACTACCTTGTAAGCTACAATCCTAAACGTCAGCGCACCTATGTTGTTCTAAAGGAAAGAGCCAACGGTGATGACGTCCTTCGAGCAGCATTTCATGTGAGTGTGCTGAATATTCTGGTCTTTGCTTTCTGATATCAGTAACTTTATGCAGGGCCAATTGTTCGTCAACATTTTTGATAAATGTTCTTCTGCCGAAGGAGCGTATCAAGAAAGCTGCAAATACATATCTCCCCTCTATGAACATTTCAAACTCGATGCCGAAAAACTGGTAAAACATTGTGGTTGACGAAGAGGTACTAAAGTTCTATGCTTTCCAGGGCTGGATAATGTCAGAGACGCTATTAAGTCCTGGAAATGCTCGGGTTTGCACCTGAAAATCGTCACCCCATGTGGAGGTAGGGAGTTTTTTGTTTTCACTCGCTGTAGAATTTCATTCTCTGCCTCCGTCGAGTTGAAACATCTTGTTTTTCAATAAAACTGCTTTGGAAGCCGACTCGCAGCTGTACTTCGCAAGTCACACCTTGTTCTTGGATTTGTAAGAGACATTTACTCGCGATCCCGAAAGGTAACGCTTTCTGAATTAACAAGACTTGATTGATATTGACCACTTTTGTTGTGCTTACTCTTCATCAGCTGGCTGACATCACTGCTATCGTCGGGACCCAAGCCGCTCGCACGCGATACTTGGTAACTAATTTTTTTTCTTCGTTGATTTATTTTCGGCTCCACTATCTGGACTCATGATTGTCAGGAAATATCATGCTGCTCGCTCTCGGGGAGGAAGGATAGTTGGTTCGTTATGTGCAAAGCGTTTCAAAGCGTCTTTTCGCCCGCAAGTTTATTCAGACTTGCTCGCTGTGTTGACCCCGCCATGTGAACTTGCGCAGGTTCCCGGAGATCACGGCCCTTGGAAAATTCCTATATGCCGTACGCGGTTGTCTCATTGGATGTTGCTCGGCACAAGGTTCGCTTTTTCTTTTCAATACTGAGATGACAGGAGAAAAAGTAAGACTGTTCAAGTACATACCAGCCTTTGTCTGCCACTAACAAGTTTGCTTTTCCCTACCTTGCTAGTTGACCCCCATGGCAATCCATCCATCTCTCGGCTCCGCTCCGGTTTCCGTTCTATTCTATTCGATTCGATCCTTGCAAGTGGACTAAGCCGCGGGTGTCTCACTTTTTCTTCTCCTTCCGGGCTCGCGACGGCATCTCTAGACCCCGCTTTACAAGTGTCATCCTTGAAGCAAAGGTATCCGTCGCGAATTTGTCTTCCTGTCTGTACTGTTCGTCCTTTGGTTTTGCTGACAGATCTCTACTGCTCGCGCTCAACTTTTTGAGTACTGCTTGTTTGTTTTGGACAGGGCATGTGAAGGGGGAGAGAACTTGGGTCCCGCTCGCAATCCTAGAATGCGCATGCGGTCTGTGCATCCATGGAGCCCACGCAAAAGAATTCCAGCTCAGGTAAGCTGCTATATAGATTTGCCTGCTTGCTCTCGCTTCCTTGCTCCTTGCATCTTAAAAAAATCATTGTTTCTCGTCACACAAGTCTAGCGCGGCAGATGCCTGGCTAGCTCGTCCAGAGCTTTTGGTTTCTCTTTTTTTCTTTTTCTTTTTTAGCGTCCAAATCCCTGGCTTAGCTCCTGTTTAGTGGCGCCAGCCATGGCTAGATTCCTGTGGAGTGATATGATCTTCTGTTGAGTGTTCTCGAACGGTTGTAGTTTTGTGCGTAGTAACCGGATGCTTTTTTGCAGGGATCGCTTTTATTCCTCCCAGTTTAATCCAAGAAAGTTGGTGGTACGCCCTGCGGTAAATCAATGTACTTTCTACATTTAGCCCCTGCCATTGCTACAACCATTGACTACAATGTGGCTGCAGCCTGGGCCGTCGATCCCCCGCACCCAACGTTCCGGATGCTCCACCGCGTAACTCGTGTGCCTGGCACAACCGGGGCCGTTGGTGGCTCTGGGATGGACGACATCCGTGCGCTCTCAGCGACCCCGTAGAGAAGGGAAGAGTTTTTTTCTTTCTCTCCCCCCCGAGGTCTCTCGAGCGCACCGCCATTTGGTTTGGAGGAGGGGGACGACTGTGGAGGAAGAGAAAAAAGCGGTGTTCTTGCTAGCAGCGGCTTCTCGGGACAATTGCGCTGCGGATCTGGGAGCTCCAGGTACGTTTGCCGATCTTCAGTCCCCTGGTTTTGGGATTTCCTGGATTTGGGCAGCTGGGATTCTTTGTTGGGCTCTTGTCTTGGGTTGTTTCCTTCTCGCCGGGCGATGCCCGATTGGTAATTCTCTCGGTTTCTTGCGAGTTTCTAGAGCTCTTCCTCCCCTGGATTGTCTTGGAATTTGCTTTGCTTGCTTGCCAACGTACTGTTACGTCAGTCTAAGCTAATTATTGAACCGCCAACGAGATTTCCTGGAGTTTGAAAAACTTTCTTTGACGGATTCTCGTTTATTGCAGCCACATTTCCTTGGGAGATTCCGGCTTGAGAATATTGGAATCGATCTTCCTCCAGCAGCAGGGATGGTCAAGTAGTCTGTTTTTTCGCTCCTTCCCTTCAGTCGACTGGAATGCAGCAGGAGTCCCCGCCGGAAGAAAGCGTGATGAAAAGCGTCGACAGCTCTCAGGCCCCGCTGAACCAGGAGGAGAAAGAACACATGGAGTTTCTGGAGAACATCTTGAGCATCCCGTCGTGGTCGGAATTGGGGGTGAGGAACTGGGAATTCGGCATTGACACCTCCAAGTTGACAAAGTCAGAGCTTTCCGGACTGCTCAACCTCGGGGCCGAGAAGCAGGGAAAGGGAATGCAGCAGGACAGTGTGGCCGCGGATCCTCAGATTGGTGATATGGTGGACGACGCCTTTCTCTTCGCACAGCTCCAGCAGCAGCGGAGCATGCTCTCGGAGGGCTCTATATCACAGCTTATGGAACGAGCATCCTCCAGCCTCGACATGGTTGGCTCGCAAGGCTCCGAGCCTTTGCTCCACAGGCTAGAGGACGTGCCGATTGGACTGCCTGTAGGCTCGGCACTCGTCGGGAGTGCTCCACCGAGGCCTGAAGCTGGCCAAGCTCTATCGCCCTCATGGCGCCAGCCGTTCATTGGAGGCATGCCGCTAGAGATGTTCACGAACTCCAACGGGGGGCATGTCTACGGCAGAGGATTCCGTGGCGGCGAGGAACTGGTACGAAGATGATGCGAACTTTGCAACTTTGTCTCTGGTTATGCTAACGTAAGCGGTGCAGGGTCAAGCCCGGGATGGAACGCCAGGAACCATGTTTAACGTCTATCCTTCGCTTCCTCAGCCTAGAGCGCCCGTCCCGCCTTCGCAACAGGTGAGCCTCTCGAGTCATAGTGGTTTTGTTTGAAAAGCTTGCGAGTTGCAGGTGAATACCAGTGCTCCGGGGCCACAGTCTGGGCAAGCATACAGGCCTCAAGCAGTGAGTACGCAGCCACAGCCTGTAAATCCTGTCGCTGGTGGGGCTCCTCGGCCTCGTGTGCGTGCTAGGCGCGGTCAGGCGACTGATCCTCACAGCATTGCGGAGAGGGTATAATCATCTCTGTCGCTCTTTGTTTTTTTTTTTTTTTTTTCTGGATCACTAAACTTGTTTAAGTACAGTTGCGTAGGGAAAGAATCGCAGAGAGGATGAAGGCTTTGCAAGACCTCGTGCCAAATGCTAACAAGGTTTATATACTCAGCATCGTTTAGTGGTGCTTATCTTTTTGTATGTTTTTCCCAGACGGATAAGGCCTCGATGCTGGATGAGATTGTAGACTACGTGAAATTTCTGCAGCTGCAAGTGAAGGTTGGCGCTTTCTTTGTTTTCATTTCGAGAAGCTTCGAATGCGAATGTATACCCGCAGGTTTTGAGCATGAGCCGGCTTGGAAGTGCGGCAGCTGTTCCATCTCTCGTGGCAGACTTACCATCTGAGGTAAAAGAAATACTTTTCTTTTGCTGCTGTTCTTACGTTTCATGTTCCAGGGAGCAAACAGCTTACTGGCGAGTACGCTCAGCCGCAGCACGGGGATCTCACACGACGGTCTCGCCAGCGCCGAGCGTCAAGTGGCGCGGCTCATGGACGAGGACATGGGCTCTGCGATGCAGTACTTGCAGAGCAAGGGCCTCTGCCTCATGCCAATCTCTCTGGCCACGGCGAGCGGCAAAGTTCCGCTCAGCGCGCTCCAGGCAATCGGCTCCAGTGACAAACAGCAGTACACGGACGCATCGGTGACGGTCGTCACCGATAGAAGTGGCTCCGCGAACAATGCCGCCACAGGGAAGGCCAAGGAGGCGATCATGGACAGCTCTAGCAACAAGAGTAACGAGGGGATCAAGCAGCCATCGTCCATCAAGTCTCCCAAGAGCAAGACGAACTGATTGAGCCGATGATACGGGAAGGATTTGCGGCCAAAGCAACACGCAGTGGTGGTGGTGGTGGCGTTGGGCTTTGCTGTGAGCTAAGGTGAGTGATTGTTTTCTCACTTTTTTCTTCTTTGTTCGTGTGATCTTCTGGTTTGACAGTGGAAAACGTTGTGTGCAGGCCTGGCCATTTGTAAATACGTTGGACAAGATCCAAAAAGTTTTGGTGGCGCCGAAAGATTCGCCCAAGAGAGATGGAATCGAAGTGGGTCGATCTTCTACGAGTTTTATAAATATTCCCTATTGCCGCTTGCTTGATTGGAATCGACAAGAAATCGAAAAAAACTACTATCGCATTTTGTATAGCTTGGTTTGAATGGGAAGCAAAAAGTAAAAGGAGAAGAAGAATCTTTTTTCGTGTGGTTGACCTTCCAACGTCATCCGAAACGTCACTCCCGCGCACGCGGGGAAAGCTGACGGGCGCGACGGGCCGTCACTAACCTAATACCTTGCGTGGACGACTGGATTGTGCTGCCACCTTTTGCTTTTTCTTGGACGCTTTCCAATTCCGACCCTTCGATCGCATCTCCAAACTTTTGCAAATTAGAAGATTAAATGTGATTGTTTTGGAGGAGGGGTTTTGGGATTTCTCCATTTCCTTCTTTGTGCCGCATCACAAAAGTTGTTATCGTGGCCCCATGGTTGACTGCACTGCCCTTCTCGGCTTTTGATACTACACACACAGCTTTGCATTGCTTTCCCTCTTTCCTTTCTTTCTTCAATGCTTTCTTTTTTCTTAAAGAAACTCTTGCTTGCTTGTACTGGTACAGCACTGTTACTGCTACTTCGCAATATGTCCACGGGGGGAATGTTCCATTTTCCAGTGATTGGGAGAGGCCTGGGTGGGATGATGTCCACTTCACACGAACAGATGGAGATTTGCTAGGAATTCTTGCAGCCGCGCAAGGGATTTTGAGAGGTATAACACGCCCATCCAAAGCTCGACTCATAATCTCTCTGGAGCTTCCAAGTTTTGTCAATCGACTTGGGCGCCTCTCTATCTCTGATCGCTCGCAACTTATCACTAGACAGCGTGTTGTATCGATCCTCTTTTTTCTTCTTGTGTTTCTTGCTTTTGTTTGTTTGTTGCAGGGCCGAGGAGCCAAAGTCAAGGCCGTAAGGGTGGCCTAGAACTCTAGCACGAGGACAAAGCTCTTGGCATTTTCTTCCAGGTGCTTTGGACAAACACTTGAGAGAGAGGTATAGTGTTTTTCTCCAACTTCTAAGCGTCTAGAAAGCTTGTCTTTAACGGTTGCCACTCTATTAGGCGGCTTAGAGAGCATCCATACTACGTGATCTCTAAGATATACTGCCAAAGAGAAATCTCCCAACACATTCTTTTTGTCTTGCAAAACTAACTCTTTCACTCTCACTCTCTCTCTTTGTGTCAGGAGTAAAAGAAAGTCGGCTCGCTAGCTCCTCCTAGTATACTGAACCAAAGAGTTCTTTTCTACTGAAAGAAAGAAGTCCTACTCAACTTTATGCATCGTCCTCATCTTGGCGAGCGCTGGAGAGTCACCGTCTTGTTTGTATCCTTGCTCTGCTTCGTTTTCCACTCCGGAGTCACTCATGGACGACATCCTGGAGATTCTCAACATGCCGTCGTGGTCGGATATCGGTGGCCTGAGGAACCAGCTCGAGTTTATCAATCCACCATCCGGAGTAGCGCCTGATCAACCGGGAGCCTCTGGGGACTCCAAGGATCACTCAGCAGTTACAGAAGAGTGCCAGGATCAGTCGCAAGCTGGATCGTATGTGGACTCCTTCCTCCACAGCCAGCAGCAGCAAAGCTTGCTGGATCATTCTGGCTTGCAGCTTAGCGGAGGAGGAGGAGGAATCGGCTGCAACATCATGGCCAACCAAGGATGTTCTTCCTCGCCTTTCCCCATGCTCCTCCCGGGCGAGGCAAACTCGGTCATGGCCTCTCTCAACTCTCCCTCCCATGGAAGCTTTGGCGATTCCTCTCGGCTATGGCAGCAGCAGCAGCAACCTTTCATAGGAGACCTCCAGCAGCAGCTCAGGCCTGGAGATTTGTTCAATCTCAACGCTGGCATGTTCTCCTCGAGATACCGCAGCGCTGGAAACATTCCCTCAAACTTGAGAATGGTGAGTCGATTGTTCATTGGGAATTGCTGCTCATGGTTTCTTGGTTTCTTCTTTCTTAGCAGCACAGGGAAGGAGCGAGTAGTGTGTTCAGTGCTTATGGATTGGGCCAGCAGAAGCCTCAAATTCAAGCAGTAAGTTTGATCTTGCTCTAAAACTCTAAGATGGAAAACTCTTGCCGATTTGTAGGCTCCATCGCGAGGTTCGTATAGAAGCGCTCAGCCTGCCCCTATGGCTCCAATCTCTGGAGCTCCGAGGCCTCGAGTTCGTGCTCGCCGGGGCCAAGCCACCGACCCTCACAGCATTGCCGAGCGAGTTAAGATCCTTGCCAGCTTTTGTCCTTTAGCTTCTTGATCGTACATCGAGAGAGTTCTTACGCTGAGCTTGTGGATCTTGTGATTTCTTTTTTCCAGCAACGCAGGGAGAGAATCGCGGAAAGGATGAAGGAGCTGCAAGGATTGGTACCAAATGCTAACAAGGTATATAGTCTGTATATAAGCAAATAATAAGCCTTGGAATCATATGTCATGGAAACACTTTGGGTGCCACAGACCGACAAGGCGATTATGCTGGACGAGATAATCGAGTACGTAAAATTCCTCCAGCTCCAATCAAAGGTTTGTGAAAACTATCTTTCGGTCACCTCATATACCCAATGGTTTGTTTTGTTCCTTTGCCAGATATTCTCAATGTGTCGCATCCAGCCACCTCCAGAGGTTTGTTATAATTCTGAAGCTTCTTCTAACCAAGCTCTTTGGTTATGGCAGTCTTATTCCAGTGCCATGGCTACGAGCTTGAGCCAGAGCAATGGCGCTTCGGCAGAGAGCTTGGCGAACCTGGAGCGGCAGGCAGCTCGGCTCATGGACGAGAGCATGGGCAGCGCACTGCAGTTCCTCCAGAGCAAGGGCTTTTGCCTCATGCCCGTCTCCATGGCCGCGGCTTTGTCCGCTACAAAATCCATCCACCAGCCAATATTTCCTCAGGAAAAGGTCGAGGCCTCCACAGTAGTAACTGCAGAGAGGCCTCAATAACGTTAGCACCTTAAAGTGAAAGTTTCGCCAGTGCAATAAGTTGATGGTATTTCATGTTGACAGTGCCTTTTGATCTGCAAGAGACGAACGCTACATTTTCATGAAATCCTTCAATGTCGACCGTAGGAGGCGAATTGGCCTGACAGCCCTCTCCAAATGCCAGCTTATTATCTTTCCAAAGATGGTCTGCCAGGGAGGAATGTTGGCATCTGCTTTGAAACCTGGTCTTTTGGAGCATCATTTCCATGCAAAACAAAATCTCGCGAGGCTAAAGAGAGATTTTTTGGCGAGCCTAATATGTGGTGTCGCTTGGCCTTCATGCACTTGTCCCGGTGCATGGCGCGAATCGACTTGCCAGATAGCGCCCTGCACGATCAATTGGATCATTTCCTCCCGAAGGCCCAGGATTGGAGGAGAAGATTCCAGGAGACTATGGCCCTGCGCGAGGCAGCAGCTGAGAGAATCGGGCGAGGAGGAGCAGAATACATTTGAAGAATATTCGATGTGCGTGAAAATCCAGAAAGTAAGTTACCAGGAAGACAAAAACCCTACATTGCATCAAAACTGGCAAATATTTTGCAGCAATGACATTCAAAACTATCACACGATCAAATCTAAGAGATCTCTGGAAGAACATACCACGTACAGCAGCGTGATCATTTCCCTGGAAAACCACGGACGAAGTCGATCTGGAAGAAAAGAAATCGATTTTTTTTCTGTGTTTCCCTACCTCCTCCTCCTCCTCCTCCTCCTGGAGTGCCGAGCTCGCCACCGGCAACATAGTCTTCGTCCTTCTCGCTGGATCCATTGCCAGGATCATCGCAATCGACGGGCTGCTGGATCGTCCGCCGGCGCGTCTTATTCATATACGATATCTTTCAAATATTATTCTTTTATGAAAAATCATCCTATGCAGTATATCCTATTGTCTCAAGGATTCCACGGCGATGGCGCTCCACTCCGGGGCACCACATTCTCCGCCGCTCCCTCCAATCCAGCCGCCATGGAATACAAGGTAGCTATAGTGTTCTTTCCCCGGATCGAGGCCGAATCCCAGGAAGAATTGAGTCCCAAAGCGTGGATCCATCGGGCTTGATCCCTATCGAGCGCGTCTACCAATCCCGCGAGGGCGAAGGATTCGATCACGGTGTTCCACGCAGCTTAACCGAACAATTGTACCATCTGCTTTGAAGTAGTTATTGTGCTGCACGTAAGTGTGTAAGTTGACTGACAAGGATCATAATAGTAGGAACATACCCTCCATTCAATTGCTGGGAAGCTAATCTTGCCTTCGACGGTATTGTAGTACACCAAGCAATTCACCTCCACCCCGGCCATGCAATCTGCTGACAAACAAAATCACTCCAAATGCCTCAACAAGCTTGCTTACCTTTGGCGATGGATTCCGGCACTCCTTCCAAGAAGGGCCCAAAGTCTCCCTTGGTGATGGGAAACTTGTATGGCAGCTTCAGTCTCTTGGACCTCCTCTTGTCATTCCTGAGCTTCCCAAATCCCACCACCACGCCCGTCAAGCTACCCCTGGGAGTCATCACTGGCGCTCCACACTCGATCCTGGCCCCGTCGCATGGCAGCATGATATGACGGTAAGGAGGGAATTGACAGCTCGTCTCGTACTCCAAGAGATCGTCAAATCGTCCGCCATCGCCTCCCACCGATGTTCCGGCCACGAGCAGCGGCTTCTTGTTCCCGTCATGGTCCCACGACGCCGACACCACCGTCACCCACGGCCCTGGCATCGGCGCCACCACTGCGCAGGCCGAGAAGCTCTGGGAGCATCCTTGCGCGGGAGTTAAAACTCCCACTCCGCCCGCCACCTCTGCTACGCACTCGTATCGCCTCCCGTCCACGCACACAACGTAGCGCTTGCCATCGGATTCCTCCTCCGCCTTCTTCTTCATGCAAGCGTAGCTCGTGACGCAAGTTCCATCCGGCCTCACCAGCGTCACCATTCCACACCTGTTTGTGGCGTCGAGCTCCTCGTCGTCCTGGCGACCCACGCGATAGAACCAGCCGATGAACTTGCTCGCCTCGGCCTCGAGCACCCGGATATCGTCGGCTGCTTCCCTTACTCGGTTGTGGTAAGCGTGGATAGCTCCATCGGCCTTGAAGAACACCTGGCGGAACTCTTCGTCCAGCTGCCGCGATGCCTCGAGCCGCTTGCGGCTCATCTCTGCCCAATTT